TGAATGCCCCGCCCCGCCACTGAGGACGGGGCGGAGATGGGGAGGGGGTCCCCTGCCCCAAACCCACCCTGTTGCCATTCCTAAATGCTTTCAAGTATCACCTCCTCTTTTCCCACTTATTATGCACTCCCATGCTTTTGCATTAATGCAAATGAAATTGCACTGCAAACAAACAAGATGAACACACAAGTCCAACAGAAATAACATGCATAAATAAAGTGAAAGCCAAATTATTTGGATTAGCCACATGTTTACAAGAAATTGTAATAATAATAATAATAAAGGCTCCACTTAAGTTAATAATTATATCAAATAAAATAAATCAGTGAATAAAAAGCTATATTTGAGCCAAAATGATTCATTTTTATAGCAAGTTTATACGGTTGAAAATCACATCACACTTAGGTTCAATTTAGAATAGAAAAATTTTATTCACTCTTAGAAGTTATAATAGATGGCCATCATGTGGGATCTACGTATGGTAACATATGGAACCAAAAAGAGGGGCCTACATATGAAACTGACCACTCTCGATCGGCTACCCACCGAACACCACCGCGGTGTATTGGGATCTACGTATGGTAACATATGGAACCAAAAAGAGGGGCCTATATATGATAAGAGAGATTTTCTTAATGCACAACTTCAGGTGGGACCTATATGTAGGAATTCGCTTTATATTTTAGGGTAAATACAAAATCTTCCTTTGAAATTTCTTATAATCATAAAATCCTCTCCTATAATTTTATTTTAACAAAAATCTCCCTAGAATTTTTAAAAAATTGACAAAAACCTCCCTTTCATCATTATCATTAATCCAACGGAAAACGTTTAATTTATGCATAAAACTTTTTCAAATACCCGTTTTACCCTTTTGCAAAATGGGCACTAATGAAGAACGGATTACACCGATCAATAGGTCAACTCTCTTCTTTAGTCCAAGGAGGCCCTTGAGTCGGAGCTGTCGAGGCCGAGCAGTGCCTTACTTTGGTTTTCGTCTCTTCTCAACTCCACCAACAAGCGGAGCGGCTTAAGAACCAAATTCGGAGAGAGAATGAACGAGTGAGGGCCAAGGGTGCTGAGCCTTCAAAGCTAATATGGAAGAGAATGTTAGAGATGAGGAGAGACAGAGAGAAGTTGTGGAGATGAAGTTGACACGACAACAGAGAGAAGATCATAATGGTCCCTACCACTGTACAAAAGCCTTACTACCTTGGTTTTCCCTTTGATGTCTTGCTAAACTCAGCTCCATACTCTGCGATAGGAAGAAAACTAGTGCCTCATCCTCCCACCCTATGCTCATGCTCTGTTATGTAAACAATGATTGGCTAGCTGCTGGCACAACTTTGATAACACCAATAATTCAGACTCTCCTCCCAAAAAATCAGATTTTTTAATGTGTTGCTCAGAGATTCATCTACAGTAATTGCAACCAATGCTTCTTCATACTGACTCCGTTCTTTATCATCATAACATATGACCTCTTTCACAACCATCCGCAATTCATCTACATCATCTCTCCTTTCCCGAGGAGTAAGAGTAATGCCCTTGTTGATAGCCATTCCTTTCACCGGTGCTCGAAACAAACAACCGCCATTCCCAGTAACTTTTTGAACAGAGAAATGTTCCACCTTCTTCAATGCTGGTGAAATTCCACCCAAAGACGATGGATATCTAGGACATATCATACTAGAAATCAGAGTAATTGGCGAAGAGGCGAGCTCGAATACAGAAACTCCCTGTTTCAGCTTTTGCAGAGAACCTCGTTCAAAGGCTTGCCCACCATAATGGTGAGAACACTTCGAGAACTGAAGAAAGCGATTGCTGATGTTATTAGGGAGAAGGAGCAAATTGAACGGGCCAGGATTGATGGAGACCGTGAGATTGTTCCATTGAAGAAATCTGTAGAGGCCCTCACTGCAGAATTTGGAACTCACATTAATCCAACCATAGAAGGCAAAAAGACTGGTATTAATATATTCCGTATTCACCCAAATTAAATAAATAAGCAAAATCGTATGATAAGGGTCGGTTCTCCAATTAGATCAGAGCAGGCCTGGTCCCATCAAAGCAAAAGATTTGACGGGAAGGGACCATTTTTGGAAAGTTAAAAGTAGAGAGACCATGAGTTAAGCGGCAGCGAGGTTGAACTGAAAGAGACAAGGATCGATGATGGGGAGGGGGGATTCGGTTACCTGCAGGTTGGGGTGAAAGCACTGGGAATGCCGAACAAGATGAACTTTTTACCAGTAGCGAGGGAGTGAATGGAGGAGATCTTTTGGAGGTCGTCGTTCTCGTCAAAGCAACCAAGAGTGCCGCTTGTCATCACGTCACCGACTGAGATGGGAGCCATTGCCGATTGCTCTACTTTTTACTCCAAACCTTCCTTCCGAGACAAGAGGAGACGAGAGAGCGGAGTTCAGCACAGGCGGGGTAACGTTCACCGGTTATTTCAGTACCCATTTTACAAAAGGGTAAAATGGGTATTTGAAAAAGTTTTATGCATAGGTTAGACGTTTTCCGTCTAGGTCAATGACGGAGGAAGGTTTTTGTCAAATTTTTTAAAAATTCAGATGTTTTTGTTAAAACTAAAATTATAGGGGAGGTTTTTATCATTGTCAAAAACTTTAAGCGATGTTTTTGTATTTTACCCTATTTTACAAACAAGGAAATAAAGACAGCATCGAGAAAAAACAAGTAAAAACTGAAATTTAAACTGAACCACTATTTGTTCACCAAAATTAATACCTAAACTCCCTTTTATTTTTAGTTCCAAAACAAACTGAGCACATATGAATAAAATAGAAAAAATAGGCATATTCATGTTCATCATCTACCTTGTTTAGAATTCTTGAATTCTATACACTCTCCACTTCATCATCCCTCTCTGTTAAGATAACATCTAAAGAGGGGGAGGACGTGGCTATTGCCTTTCTTTTCTTTTAGGCTATGTTTGATTTGAAGGAAAAAGTAGGGAAAGAAAAGGAAAACATTCCCTTCCTTTCCCTATTCTTAATGTTGAGTGGATAAGTTTTTTTTTAAACATCAAGAAAGCAACCATCCTGACTGATCAATCTGTTCAGCCAATGAAGGAGATGGACAGCTAAATTATTTATCTACTTACAACATAATTGAGAGCTCAATCGGTCAGACGACATACTTATATAAAGTAACTAATATTAGGTTTTTCTCATAGCAGGTTTCATCTCAAAAGGCTCATTTTGGTTGCAGTGCAAATTTCATTTGTATTAGCGTAAATGCATGGAAATGCAAATAGGTTGAATTTAAACTCTGATTTACTTTTGTTTTATCTTATTTATTTATGAAAGGTCAAATAGAAAATAAAATGTGAGAAAAATGAGGCAGCAGGAGGATTATTTGGGAGTGAGATAAGAAGCAAGATGATGTGGTCTCCATTTCAAAAGAGCAAGAATTGATGCACGAGGGAGGTAGTGCAAATTTTCATAGGTTTTGGAATACAAAATTTGTACTATCAATGAGTGTAAATGAGATAAAAGTACAAATCATAGTTACAAACAAACAAATGCAAAATTCGTATCTAATTCAGATTTGCACTGTAAATTGCAAAACAAGCATGATCAAAACCCTTAAATAAAAAGAAAGGGTCTTTCCACAAGACACCCTACGTGAGCAGAATTTCATGTCAAGCCTGACTTCCCCAAATTAGCATTCTAACACAATGCATACGAAATTATGAATTAATTTGAATACCATAACAGTGTTCTACCATATAAAGAAACAGCTCAGCTGTGCTACTTCCATACAGAGACAGCTAGAATGTGAGCCTGGTCTGATGGTGGGCCAACCAACCTGAGTCGAGAAAAGGCCCAGTTCCAAACAAATTTGGCCCAAAGAGATGGTCCTAGGAAGGATCATGCTGATATTTGGCAGAGAAAATCTTTTCAGGTGAAACCGCGTTCAGTGCAGACTGCTGAGACTGCTACACTACGGTCCAAATAGAGCCGTTAGGCACCAGCTGCCAGCTGGCCCCCGCAAAGAGAAGTGAGATACAAGAGCAGAGTCCGTCCTGTGAGTCTTGCATCTCTACCGTCCATCGGCTCTGGTCGGAATCAGGATTCTGTTCTGTGGGTCCCGGATAGGACAGCCGAGATCTCGTTCACCAAAACCGAACCTAACCGTGTTCCTTTGATGATTAATTGATCAGACTAATACAGTTGTTCCATCATCTAAAGTATAAACAATGCTTCCATGTCCATTGCGTAGCGCAGGAGGTAGGTCCCATCCACTTGGAGCAGGTAGACCATCTTCACAATAATTAAGTGCCGTGCCATCGATTTCCTAGTCGGGTCGTCGTGAACGAAACGGGATTCAGTCAGTGCGAAGCCCGTGTCGTCGAACACCCATTATAGCCTTGCATTGGGAAATCGATGCAAAGCTGTTCGAACGGGCCTGAAGCCGATCTCATTGTTAAACGTCTTTAAGGAGTTTGGATCATCTCCCAACAAAATATGTTTTAACACCTTACACCATACATCTCATATACGATTGGACTTCTTTTCACTTTTATGGTGGGTTTCAGTTTTATAGTGATATGTGCGGTGTCAGATCAAATTGGTAGGGCCCAGAATTTATAACATGCGTGTAGAATTTTATACCAATAAAACACTTTCAATACTGTCCCAACAGCTCGCAGTCGTATATTAAAAATATCTCCCATTGCAACCGTATATTAAGAATATCTTTTTTGTCATTCAGGAAGAGATGCTGCTGATGTAAAATGGCTTTTTCACTTTTTCAGTTCTACCCAAAACAAAATTACGCGTTTTAAGTTTGGACGGAAAATGGCTTTTTCACTTTTTCAGGCATCAATAGGATCGCCGAACGATGTTCCGGAAATGCAAGCAAGAAATTCAAACAGAAAAGACCTATTTTCTAATTTAATAATATTAAATATCAAATGAAGCTGAGGAAATAAATAAATTCGGAGATAAATATAAATAGAGATCTCTGCTTCTCTCTCCTCTCTATGAAACACTCGCTTTCTTGCTCGCGTGTTTGGTTTGCTTTTGTTGGTTCTGTCTCTCACTAAAGCGTCTGCAAGTTGGGGGAGCGAGCCATGGGCTGGTTTCCCTGCTCTGGGAAATCAAACAAGAAATCTAAGAAGAAGAAGCCCGATGATCAGCAGATCCAATCCACTTCAGGTATTTCAGGAAATATTTTGAATATAAATTGAGAGAATTTAGAAATGTGTATAACAGTCGAGTTCACAGTCGTTTCTTTTCTTTTTTTTTTTTTTTTTGTCAAAGATAGAATCACCCCACCTTTTCCCCTAAGTTTATATCAGCCTTTTTCTCTGTGCTGGGTTTAATTTAATTGACCACAATCGGGTTACTTGGATAATTTGCTGTGTACCAACTTAGGGTTTTGAATTGTTTTATGGATCTCCTCAGATTTGGGACGAAATGATTTGGGAATTTTTTTTGAGCAGAAGTCTTGGTTTGATGGTTTCTACACTTCGAGTACGTGTTTCGCTGTCAGCCTTTCTATTTGATTTTACTTTCTTATTTTATTTTATTTTCTCTGGGTTTCTCTAAGATTAGCTTAGACTTAGATCGTTTTGCTTTTTGGCCCTCTTATTGTGATCCTTATGGTGAAACCCATCTCTGCGTTTGTTAAGTAACTTTGGACTTATATATTTTTTTCCTTTTTTTTCAATTGAATTGATATGGATCGGTTTCTGACTATGAGTCCCCGAAGACTCTGGATTTCATTTCTTTCTGATTCTCTTATCTCTATTCTGGGTTTCTACATAGTTATCCGTGTTTATTTGACTTAAACTTTTTATTCAAGTCAAATTAGGTTTCCTAAACAATAGATATTATTAACTCTCGTGTTAGTTGTGAACATCCAGTTTATTCTTCCTGGTTATAGAATCTGTTCTCTTTCTTTCTTCTCCGTTCCACGATTGTTTAGTAGGAAAACTGCTTCCAGTGGAGCTATATCTGTTGACTGTGACGACGATTGTCAAATGAAGGATTAACGAATAATAAATTAGCATGTCAGTGAGATGAACTTAGGATCTTCTAGAGTTCAATATCTGAAGGATACTTAATCTTATTGAAGCCAAGTCAAATTAGCTTCTCGAAATGGATTAGTCTTTTACCAAGTGTAGAAGCTATTCCTGTTAATTTAAAGCTGGTGGACGGGATGTTTGTTTTGTTGCTACCTACGCGGATTTTTTTTTTTTTTTGAAATTTTGATTGAAGAAATCCAATCTAAAAATTTTTCTAGAGTGTTCTGTTTGTCTTCTGTCTTTTCCTGTTATTTGTAAACTGCTGGTGATTTCTGCATTCTAGGATTTCCTCTTTTGCGGGAACCCAACTACTTTCTGCATGCTATATTATTCTTTTTGTTGCTCTTGTTATGATATTAAATGTTGGCCATTTTTCTTCTCTTTCTCTCCAGAGAAATTGAAGGTAAATCCATCATTGGATGTGAAGAAAGAGAGCTCCAAGGATGGGTCAGATCGCATAGCAGCACAAACTTTTACATTTCGTGAATTGGCAGCTGCAACGAAGAATTTCAGGGCAGATTGTCTTTTGGGTGAGGGAGGTTTTGGTAGAGTTTATAAAGGGCGATTGGAGAGCATTAATCAGGTGGGCTGAGTTTGTAAGTTTTTAACTGGTTCAATGAAATATTAAAAAAATGATAGCATTCTTTCACATTGTTCTGGAGTAATTATGTATCATGCCAACTCAGATTGTGATATTTGAACCTGAGTTGCAAGCATATGCTGACACTGAAGCTTTCATATTCTGTCTTTGTAGATTGTGGCTATCAAGCAACTTGATCGTAATGGTTTGCAAGGGAACAGGGAATTTCTTGTTGAAGTATTGATGTTGAGTCTACTTCACCATCCTAACCTGGTTAATCTAATTGGGTACTGTGCTGATGGAGATCAGAGGCTTTTGGTTTACGAGTATATGCCGTTGGGATCTTTGGAAGATCACCTACATGGTATAGATTGTACAGAATAAATTTTACTTTTTAACTATTCTATTTGTCTTTTGCATTCATGCTTTTGCTACTTTTGTAACATAACTATTTGCTTTCATATGCTTGTGTCTCCAGACCTTCCACCTGATAAGAAACGACTCGATTGGAACACAAGGATGAAGATAGCTGCTGGTGCAGCTAAGGGCTTGGAGTATTTGCATGACAAAGCAAACCCCCCAGTTATCTACCGTGATTTAAAATGCTCGAATATTTTGCTTGGTGAGGGGTATCATCCAAAACTGTCTGATTTTGGCTTGGCTAAACTAGGCCCTGTTGGGGATAAGACCCATGTATCCACTAGGGTGATGGGAACATATGGGTACTGTGCTCCAGAGTATGCGATGACAGGTCAACTGACACTAAAATCCGATGTATATAGCTTTGGGGTTGTTCTTTTGGAAATTATCACCGGCAGGAAAGCAATTGACAATTCAAAAGCAGCTGGGGAACACAACCTTGTTGCATGGGTAAGAGATCCCTATCTTTCTCTCTACCTTGGTATCTCTTTCATGTTAAGTAAGTTCCAAGATATTTCTTTGTTGAAATATATCTCTGTGCTACTGGGTCAAGCACTTTATAGTTTTTGTTGTGTGAACCTCACTTTAAGGGAAAATCCAGGGTGAGACTCCCAGAATAAGTGCAGAATTACACTAGCAATGAGGTGGAATTGCAATCAAGATAGTGCAGAATCACAGTTAATAGAAAAGTGAATCCACCTAGTGAATCAAGCTACAGAGATTCATGGTGATAAACCCAGGAGAAATACCAAGACTCAGTGTCAAACCAAAAACAAAATACAGAGATACTGAAAATGAAATAAAGGGAGAAAAACAAAACACACAAAGATTTACTACATTTTTCAGCATATAGCCTATGTCCACGGGTGATGGCAGAGCATCCACTATAACAACAAATGGTGAAGATACAAAGATGAGCAGCTTCCTTTCACACCCATACACTCTCTTACGCAAAGCCTTTACAGGAAACCCTTGCTGCAAATATACCTAGACTTCCTCTTATTATGAATCTAATAAATCTCTTGCAATTTATCAATATACAACCTAGATTCAATGGCCAACCTGAACTCAACCCTTGGAGCGCTCTCTTCGAGTCTTTCTTGCACATGCAAGATGACTTTGGGTCCAGATATAAGAGGGTATTAATGATAAAAAAAGATACAAGAGGGTATTTATAGGTGCAGGAAAAAAACACCTTAGGAACATAAAACATTGGGTTAGATCTGCAATCTGTCAATGAATCAGGTCCATCCACATCCACCACAGATCTTAATGAAATTTTTTTCTTGGGTTTTTCTCCATAACTATGGGTCGGAACTTGGAGTGGGCCACAACTAGGGGTGGATTCAAGCCGAGCCGAGCCGAATAGTACGAGGCTCGAGCTCGGCTCGCCAGGTAGTACAAGGCTCGAGCTCGGTTTGAGCTCTAACCTTGAGCTCGAGCTCAACTCGAGTCAAGAACTCGTAAGCTTAAGCTCAGCTTGGCTTGGCTCGAGCTCGATTTGAGAAAAAATGTTTTATAAAAATAAAAAATTATATATATAACATTTTTATTTAATATTTAAAAAATTAAGAATTATAATATTTTTATATATTCGAGCTCGGCTCATTTACTAATCGAGCCTGTAAATTGGGTGCAAAGCTCAGTTGAAACCGAGCCGAGCCAAGCTCGAGTAGCTAGTGAAGACCTTGGCTCATGGCCACCCCTAGCCACAACAAAGAATTCAAGGCACAACATAACAGTTCACATTGGGACCATTAATGTGGTGTAATGATGTGGGATGTATGAGAAGGAGTTGTAGCATGAGATTTAAAATGGCTACATTTAATGATAAGGTCCAATTTTGGAGGGGGGGGGAGGGAGAGGGGGGGATTAGGCTTATTGCCTTGATACAGTTTATGCAATAAGCTGTAGGTGCATAGAAGATATGATGCCTGTTTGGCACATGTGCACTATCTTATTTTCTAATTTTCTATAATGAGCTTATTAAAATACATTCACAGGTTATCTATTGATAGGAGAGAGGGGAATAGACAAGTTTAAAGTTTTGGGGTTTGAGTCTGGTGATTCCAATTTTGTTCTGAAGTGAGATCAGATTTCATGAATCATTAAATTTCAGCAGAACTAAAAATGATGGGAACATAAAGATGAAGTTACTCAAGTTAGGAAAGTCAGATCAACCCAAAGTGCTGATTTTACAAAACATGCTAAATTATGACTTTATTAACAGTTATGTTTATTATATATATATTGATCAGTAAAATCAATGAAAGCTTTATTAATATAGAGAAAATTTACAAAGGAGAGCAGCCTCGGCTGCCTTTTGAAAAATAGAGAGCACGAAAGAGACAACCCCAGAAAAAACCTATTAGGATTACAACCAAGCCCAGAAAATCTGATCTCTTCTAACCCCTTGTTTTGCTAGTTGATCTGCTAGACTTGGAACCCACCGGATTAGAGTTTGCATATCTTTTGACAGGCTTCTGAATTTTTTAATTTCATTTCTGAACCACCAAGGGTTCTTTTCCTCTCCTCTCAACCAGCTTAAGATCACTTTAGAGTCCCCTTCAATTATTGATTTCTGAATTCCTAACTCCCTTGCCTTCTGTAAACCATACAGAACTGCCTCCAGCTCAGCTCTTATGGAGTTCCCTTCCCAAAGTTTATATCTTGGTTATATATTTTTTCACTATCAAGTTTATATCTTTTGGAATTTTTGTTTGAAATTCAATTATAATATTATACTGCATTATTAATCTTTACACTTTTGTGATCCATATATGATATCTAGGGCCACGCTTTTCACCTTCCCTTTTCTGAACATAGTAACATATTTCTTTCTTAACTAGAATTACAATGCATTTGATTCTGCAATAACTCATCCATTACTTCTGCTTGATGGTTATACTGTCAAAGTAATGCTAAGGTTGACACATCAAGAAATAGAGATTAGTGAACCAACCCCACAATAAGATGGAAGGGCATGAACTATAATAGGCCTTCTAAAAACTGATAGACAGACAGACAGATATAGATATAGATATAGATATAGATATAGATATAGATATAGATATAGATATAGATATAGATATAGATATAGATATAGATATAGATATAGATAGAGATAGAGATAGAGGGAGAGAGGGAGGGAGGGAGGGAGGAACTCTAGTGGTCCTTGTTGATGACAAAGTCACAACATTTCAAATCATGATGGTATCAACTGTGTTGTACATATTAAAAACCCACATGGTCCATAACCAATAGGATGTAAGGGGATTGAAGATGGGAAGAGGAGAGGGGTGGTCAAGAATCTTCTGAGTATTGCTGTAGGGAACAAAACTGGGATCTTTTGTTAGAGTAAGAAGGTGAAGCTGTTATGGAGTTGTATCCCATTTGCAATTTGTTGGAACATCTGGAAGGAGAGGAACATAAGGACTTTTGAAGACAGCTTGCAGCATGGAGAAGATGGTTGCGGCTGTGGGCAGAACAGTGGCAGAATGGGTATTGATTCTTCCAGAATTCAGTTAGATAGAAAAGGAGGATTTTGGAAGTAGGTTAGGGAGGTCCTGGGTTATCAGATATGTAATGTGGAGCTTGTTATTTAGTCTGAAAGTTGGTCTTGTACCCGGGTGATGACTTGTCACCCTCATTTGTAACTTCTTTTCTTTTAACAAGATCTTTTTATTTACTAGTAAAAAAAAAACCAATAGGCCACCCTTATAAAGATAATCATTCCTTGCAAAAATTCTTGACATCATGGAGACATGGATCTTATCCCTCTTTCTAGAAGGAGAGAAGAAAGGTCAAAACAAGGTATTAGTATCGGGTGGTGCTGCCCAGGATGACCCAAATAATGAGAAAAAAAATACATTGATAAAAAATGTTGAGAATCTAAATTCTAGTAATATAAGTAGGAGATTAGCAAATGATTTATGGTTTCGAAATTTGCACTGCATAGAGCACATAAGAGGAGGAAATCACCAAGTAGGCCGTCTCTGTTGTAGAATTTCTTAGGTATTAACTTTTAGATGTATTATCTCTGAAAAAAATGCTCTGATTTTAGGTGGTGTAAGGCCTAACCAAATAGCTTTATGAGGGAAACCCGGAGCCTATGGGATTGATGGAGATCGAGCATCAAAGGAGGTATACAATAAAGAATCATTAGGGTCCATAATCCACAACCTACTATTAGTTAATGACAAGGCATTAACTAATTCATAAATCCAACAAGTGCCTCCTAAAACCAAGACCTCAAGAAAGGCCAACTGAAGAGACCACCTAATCAAATGGGAAGTGGTTATGGAAATGGCCTTTAGAGGGAGAATTTGTGGCACAAGGTGGTGGGCAGCAATATTCATGGGAGGTTAGAGAATGGCTGGGATGCTGGTGTATCATGTCAGACTACTTTGGCAGCACCTTGGAAAGCAACCCATAGCTTTCACCATCAGTTCCTCAGGTTTGTCAGTTATGACGCTTGTTCAGGGACCCAAATCCGGTTTTGGAAAGACTTGTGGTTCGGTGACTGGACTTTAAGGGACTTGTTTCCTTCTTTGTATTCCCTTTCCTTGTATAAAAATGAGATAATCTCAAAGTTTTTAATACCTCCTATTTTGCCTTCGGTTTATAATTGGGATTTTGGGTTTCAAAGGGGTTTGAGGGATGAAGATATCTTATTCTCGATAAAGGTGCCTAGAGTCTTCCAAACCAGATAGAAGAGTTTGGTGTCCAAGTTATAAAGGTTTATTTTCTTGTGCCTCTTTTTTTCTTGCTCTTTGCCAATCCCCTACCCCTCTTTCTTTTCTTGTTAAGGAAGTTTGGTGTCAGCCACCCCCCCCAAAATTAAGTTTTTTTTTTTGTTGGGAAGTGGCTTATGATAAGATTAACACTCTGGACTACCTGCAAAAGAAAAGGCCTTTCTTGTGTATTTCCCTGAACTGGTGCACTCTTTGCAAACCCAATGGTGAATCTTGTTACCATTTACTAATTTCCTGTTCCATTGCTACAGACATTTGGAATTGATTTTTCTCTCTGTTTAGGTGTAAGTGGAACATGCCAAGGGAGATTAAGTTACTGTTTGACCTGCTGCCTTTGCTTGGCCAAAAAGAAGGGGAAGAATAATGTGGAGGTGTACTAGAGCAGTCATGATTTGGACCCTATGGGAAGAATGAAATGCAATAATCTTTCAAGAGGAGAGAAGCAAACAACGGATTTTGGATTGTGTAATGACCAGGGTTTATACATTGGCTACTAACTCTGGATTTGTTTAGACAGTTCTCCTTTGATGATATTTGGAGGAATTGGTTTTCTTGCATCTAGTTCAGTGCAGAAGATCAAAACAAGGCCAGGCACCTCCTCTTGAAGGTTTTCTGAAATTAAACTTCGATGGGAGAAATCAAGGCAACCAAGGTCCTTTGGGAATTGGAGGAGTCATAAGAAATAAAGGATCATACTAGCACTTTATTCAGGACCGGTGGGGATTGGAGAGTCTTTAAAAGCTGAACTTTTGCATTCTTACAGGGTGTTCAGATTACAAAAGACTTGAACTTGGAGAACCTGGTAATTGAAGGGGACTCCAAGGTGGTGGTAGCTTGGCTAAGAGACCCGGACTCATTGATTTGGTGTTATAGAAATGAAATGGAGAAATTTCAGTGGTTAACACAGCAGATGAATCTAAGTATATGGTGGGTGGGGAGGGAGGCTAATGCATTGGCTGATTCATTAGCTAAGCAAGGGGTAATTAGGGATCAGTTGTATTGGGCACAATTGTAACTCTGTACTATCTCTGTTCTAACTGTGAGGCTGCATCTTGCGGCCTCCCTTTGGGATGCTTGTAACAATGTCTATCATTATGGTTTTCAATGAAATTTAATGATCTTTTACTTATAAAAAAATAAAATAATAATAAGTCGTCTCAGGAATTGCCCCTTTTTACTAGATCACATTTGATAAATCTTGATAAAGAGCCAACAATAGCCAAAACAGCCTTCCAAAACATTGCCAACTATACATCTTATTCCTTAGGACTCATCCAATAGATGCTTTTAATTTGAGAATACCAGTTTGCCAGAATCCAAAGGAAATTCCAAAGCCACTTTTTTGAAAAGAGAATTATTCCTATTTCCTAGGCATCAACCTCCCAATCCTTACCCCCCTCGCCCACAACTACTTTCCTATTCTCTATTTCCCAAGTAATCAAGCAGTCCTTTGTATTCCCATGTTCTCAAAGAAAGCTCATTGTTCTTTTCAATCTTTTTATAGAAGTGTTTCTGCCTCCAAGGATAATGTAATTTCTGTTCCAAGTATCATTCTTAGTGAATCTTTCAAGGATAAGGTTCCCAAGGAACAAAAGTTGGGGTTTCCTTGTAAAGGATGACCAAGGTAGTTCATGAGCCATGGTGAAGCTGAATGGTCTAAAATAGTGGTGAAGGGGAGAACTAAAACAGCACAAGGCTGACTATTGGTGTGCCTTTTATACCATCATCAACAGACCAGAAAGTATTTATTGAGTAAGAAAAGTCAATCAAGTAATGTCCCCAAGGGAGAAAACTGGACGTAAAGGCTCAACCACCCACATCCCTTAGAAATTTCTCACAGGCTTGCCCAGGGAAACAGACCCTTGCAAGATAGTCTGCTAGATCTTTTACCTTCTCTTCTAACCCAACTAGACAAGGTGCTAATTCTAGGGTAGAGATCTCACTTCCCTAATTAAATGGCAGAGTATCCGTGGACCTTTCCCCCTCATACAATTACGACTTTAGATGGTCCTATACAATCACCAATTACCACTTTAGAGTATCCCTCCACCTCTAGATTGGACTTTGGAGTAGTCTGGCTGTGGCAAGAAACTCAGGCACAGTCTTTGAAGTGGCATTCGTTCAGTTTTGATGAATCTGTATCATCTATCGAGGTTGAATAGGCCATCAGTGCTTCTTCATCATGGGTTTCTAAAGAATTTTCCTACCTTGATGTTCCTGGATTCCCAGTATAGCAGCATCTGAGTTTGATTTTTTTTTTTTTTTTTTCCAGGGGAAGAAACTGCTCTTGTGGTCAAGGATGAAGCCACATTGGCAGGACCCCTGATGGCATCTGTGTGCTGAAACATGGAATCCCAACTAGTCTTAAACTTCAAGGAACACAATACAAAATGCTAAGCACCAAGCTTGGAAAAAAAATTGCAATATGAATTGGGAACAAGATCTTCAAAGGTACCAACACATTATGAAGATGTTCAATAACATGTTTGTGCTGTCATCCAAGGTTTGCCACTTGGAGAGTTGGAGAATTTCAAAGTTCAACTGCAAACAAAATTAATTTGGAAAATCCAAAAGGTCAAAACAAGGCGAGAAAAAAATGCTGCCTTGGTATTCTACTCAATAAGCCTAAATATGATGCATTGTGAGAATTCACCTTGCTAATTTTGTATGCATTCCCATCTATTGTTAAACACTTGGTCTCATATGAAATGCATAGTTATAGTTGTCGAGGCATTGCTTAGATGATTAGTTACCCTTGGCTGGGCACCTTACCTGAATGTCTTGACTTGTAGCAAAAAGGTGCTTGCTTAGGTGACAAAAATCACAAGGCTAGCACCTTATTAATAATATCATCATCATTTCTACATCTCACTTATATGTCTATCTATACATTCTTTTTTTTTTTAGTTTTTTTGGATTGGTGTGTTAATTTTACTTTGTTTTGAAGTTTTAATATTGAAATATAAAAGATCCAAGGGTTTTGAGAAGAGAAAGAAAAAGCAGAATTATAAAGAGTTTCTTGTTTTCTTGTTTTCTACTCTCTCTTCTTACATTAAGGGGGCGTTCTTTTATCGGATTTTGAGAGGGGGGAAAGTTGGTCAATGGGATTTTGGTTCCCATTGACCAAGAATCCTATGTTCTTTTTTCAGATTTATGTGGGGACCAGGGAAAGTTTATTTTCCTGGGTACCACTTACCCGGGTAAGTGATACCCATCTCCCAAGTGGGTAAATAACTTTCCCACGTAGGGAGGAAGTTGCCAACACTTGAATGGGACACAAATACCCTTTTTAATAATGGAATTTTATGGCTAAAATGGTCATTGCCTTATTTACATGAGAAATAAAAGAACATGGGTAAATGCACTTACCCGGGTAAGTGTTTCCCAGGAAAAACTTACCCAGGAACTGCATTTACCTGGGTAAATAATTTACCGAAAAAGCGAACGAGGCCTAAATAAAACAGCGGTCAACCACTTTTTTTTTTCCTTTCTTTTTACTTGCTCTCTATTGTAAATTTTTATTACATAAATTTATAGCCTTATTTAGTTGCTAACTTGATATGAATTTGTTCTATTAAATATTTTATTATATTAGTATTACTTTTGAAAAATATTGAAATCAATATATTTCAAATACCATTGTCACTATGACTTGCATGTTCTGAGAGGAAATTTAATGTTCTTAATAAAGAGAATTGCTATTTTTTCAATTAATATATATGCTGGATGGTATATAAAACTAGGGAAAAAAACCAGAATTGCTTAGATGCCTTGCAACTTTTAAGAAGCATTTTTTTTTTAACCAAGAACCTCAAACATTTTTTTCAAAATCAGACTGGACCAGACAATCGGACCAGAAAAACTGGGAACCAGTCACCTGACCGGTTCTGATTTCCTCCAAAACCGCTTTTCCCCCCAAAACCGTTGATTTTGGTCAGCAAACCGCTGAACCTGCCGGTTAACCATTTGAACGGTTTTGACCGCTTTCCAATTTTTTAATTTTTTTTTTGTCAGAACGGGCCGGCCGTTCAGGTTGAACAGTCGGACCATTCAAACCGGTAACCGGACCCCTGACCGGTTCGGTCACCGGTTTGTTTTTAAAAACCATGGCCTCAAACAAGCGTCAATTGACTTTCTAATAGTCCCTTATGCAGGCGCTAAATAAAGATAAGAGGAAGAATTTGTTTTTTCTTTTTTTTTTTTAATCCATAATCTAATCTATTCACTTTGATGGTTATTTGTAAATTATCCATCTGGGTTTGGGTGCAGGCAAGGCCATTGTTCAAAGACCGGAGGAAGTTTTCACAGATGGCAGATCCGATGCTCCAGGGTCAATATCCTGTGAGGGGCTTGTACCAGGCGCTTGCTGTTGCTGCAATGTGTGTTCAGGAACAGCCCACCATGCGGCCCCTTATAGCAGATGTGGTCACTGCTCTGACTTACCTTGCTTCACAAACGTATGACCCTGATACCCAGCCAGTCCAAAGTTCCAGAATGTACCCCTCCACTCCTCCTCGAACCAAAAGAGATGGTGATAAGCGACTTAACGGTGGTAATGGGTATGAGAGAGACCAAGGTAGAGGATTAAAATGAGAGAAGCTCCTTTGTTGGTGAGATTCATGAATGTGATTGCACTGCTGTCAAGCCTGCCAGTAGCCTGCCATGGGAAAGAAAGCATTTGATTTTGATGGTTTATCGAATGGGATGGAGGAGGCATGGAGCTCACTGATAAGCTATCATTCTTTGTTGCACTTTTGCACATATGGTATACCTGCTTATCAAATTTTGTATCGCTCTAGTCTAGATAACAGGTGTACACCAACCCCCTCGCCTTGTTCAATGTCACAGGAAATTTGCGTTTTTTCCTCCTATTTTTTCCCTTCTTTTCGGTGTACATGTGAGATTTGGTCCTTGTATCTATTACTATATATGTACTTTCTCTAGCCATTTGTCACTTTTATACAGGTTTTTCGGCATTTTCGTTCTATTTTCCATGCGTAGAGAGGCTCACCATTTGTTCTCCTAATGCACTTATTTTCGTCATTAAATTGGTTTTAACGTCTAAACATTATAAAGATGTGGATTATATTGCATCACCCGTATGAGATTTAGATATGATCTACATCTAAAATTGTGTTGCTAACCAGTATCACCAATTGAAGGGCGATACCTTTTATCTTTCTATTCACTCTTTCACGCTATTTGATGTCACACTTACGTCCCCCATCAACCACCGCTGGATTTGCCAAAAAAGCACACGCACACGCACCAGAGGCAGGTCCATTGGCCATTGTGACAAAAGTAACAGTAATTACAATGCCTATCTGAACTTTGTCAATATCTGTTTATCGGCCACAACTAATTTATAATAGCTAATACCGCTATTGGGATGCGTATTGCCTAGTCGTAACCTCAAATTTCATTGGAAAGTGCAATTAGTTCCTATTTTGAGGGATAGCAAATTAGCAATCAATGCAAGTTTACAAAAGGTAATACGAGATATAGAACAAATTGAGGGCAAAATCTATGTTGCATCAACTGCACAATTCAACAAGGATGTGAACCAATGATAATGATACGTCACAACTGACATTTTAACATTGTTGAAGTTCTGATGGTATGTACACCCACCTTGTGAGATGTGAATCAATGAAAAGTAGACTATGTAACAGTTGAAATTTTGATTTAACAATAAGCAAAATATCAGTGAATATACCATAGTTGGACTTAAACTGAGAAATAATAAAGGCGAAATTTGATAAACTCCGCATCTGCTAGAACGTGTACAACCACTCAGGCTTAGTTTGGAAGGAATACAAATGCAAATATGTACAGAGCAAATACAAACAAAATAATACAAAATACAAGATTTTGCACTGTACATATTTGCATTTGTACTCCTTCCAGACTGAACCTCATGCAAACAAATTGGCGATCCATAGATGTACCCCTTCTTGATTGGGGTGTGTATCCCGTCCCCTTTCACATGTCTTACAATCGTAGTTCTGGCAGAAGGTAATGTGCTATTTATTTAATGATAAAAGTAACAATTAACAAACCAACTAAAGGAGCAAACTTATAATAAGAGTTTTGAAACTTTTTTTTTTTAAATATATGCTTCATTCGGTGCACATACAAATGTGCAAGATTCATTATGAAAATGGGTTCACTTGTATTTTATTTGCACTGAACATGTTTGTATTTGCACTCTTCGCAAATGGAGTTTTAGGCTCAGTTTGGAAATAGTACAAATACATACAAAATAGTACAAAATATAAGGTTTTGCACTCTATCTATTTGTATTTGTATTTGGAAGTACAATACAAATATGTAGGGTGTATTTTGTATGTATTTGTACTCTTTTCCAAACTGAGCTTTAGGTCTAATCAATAACAACATCATAGATTCATAGCTAGGATGGGTAAAAATGACCTTGAAGTAGCCAACTAATTCATAACACTTTTCACTGATTATTGTTTTGCTTTTTTTTTTTTGAAACAAAAGTTCAAATAATATCAAAATTAGAGAACTAAAACCTAAATTCTAGGATAGCGCAGATTCCAAAATCAAGGAAATAGGAAATATCTATCCAAGTATACCAATGGAAAAAAGAAAAAATGAGAATCTACACAAGGTATAATCACTATTCAGATTTTTTTCTTTTAATTTCTAAAAGAAAAAAATAATTAAGTCTAAGAAAATAAAGAGTAACAAAGTAGTCATCCATGACTAACCTCAAGCTTTTCCTTCACTTCTTCCTAACCTGATATTATTAATTACTGAACAGCATAAAATGGATTTCCATGTATAATGAATTACAAACAAGGACTATTTCTATGAAGCTTTTCAAGTTGACATTGATACCGTGATATGATAAAGTGATACCTCCCATGCTCAAAACAGCCATCTTCTATTTATATAGGCAGAGGCTTATGGGCAACAAACTTATCTTGTTCATAGATACAAGCATTTCACCTTGGGGGAAGGAGCAAACAGCTTTTAGCATTCGTATAGCACTCAATCATCCATCATTTATGTTATTATTGCTATTCTTGGTTGCCATTCATCACTTTCTGCAGTTTGCTCCGTGCCAGTTCACTGGAGTTCCATTGGTCTAATCAAACGCTACTTGCTTTTCCCTGTCACTTTAAGGGAACTAAACATAAAAATGTAAGAGTGACAGAAGAATCCTTTAACATTGCAATTTATTGTACCAAGTTATCAATGCAATGCTAGACAACAAGGCATTTTCTCTAGGAAACACTTTTATATCTTGCATACATGTTGAACGCCCAACAAATTCAAGTCATCCGCCTCATCATAGGTTTACATTATGTTGTATTTTATCTTGGCTTTACAATATAGTATGCATATCATTGTGCTATTTATTACTAATTTTTTTGTATTCTTGGTACAATACTTCCTTACCTGGATCCAATGTGCTGTTGTTTTGCTTATTTGTTTGGATAATTGAGTTGTAATACACACAAACGCAATTGCAGCTTTGCTGAATGGCAGTGATTAATTGTGTACGAAATATTGAAATTTATGACCAAAAGTGATATTACCTCATGAAATTAATGATGTAATGTTTCTTGACATGCAAATTATTCCAATATGAATGATAAGAAATTGAAAACGTGGCACATGTTATCATGAATCATATTTAATACATTCTTGTTCATCAAAAACCACCACCTAAGTCACCTAGGCACCTGCCTAAGCACTTATCCCCTTCCTGCCTCGATAACCATGGCTTGTACAAAGTTTATACAGAATTATCCATTTGAAAGGTTGAATCTATTTGAAATTTGGAACAGATAACACAGTTTTTATTTTCAATCAAACATTATAGGTTGAAAAGTGAGAACGTCCCTTGCCCATTACTTGCACAAACACTAGGGTGAATAACTAAATATTGGATAGTTGATGTCTCCAAAGGGAATAGTCAGTCCAAATTAATAGTAAGTATTACTTGGGGCTATCATGTCAGTCACCAAATTTAAATGAGATTCTATAATAAAGGCTTACCTTGTTCTGGTCACGCCAACCAATTCGAAATGACCTAGAAAGCAAGCTCTTTTTTCTTGGGGGCAAGTTTTGTATGGGCTCCTGACTAATACATAATAGTGAAGAGTCAGCATGAGCAGACTAAGAAATCAAACAACCTTCAAAAGAGGTAACAATATTGAAAACACTAACATATGGTGATGATAGAGAGATCAGAAAACCAACACCAATATCAAGTGTGTACATGGAGTAAGAACCTGAACAAGATAATTTGAGATTCAAGGAATTAGCTTGTACCTTGGAGAAGGTTGTATTTGCAAGGTAGTCTCCAGCATTGTTTCTGCCATAATAACCCTCTTCTCCATTTGTGCAAGTGAATCCATAGCTACATCATATTTTTCCTGACATAAAATCATTATATCATCTACAAATTCTAAGTGAGCTACCACAATCCTATCTCTCCCCACTGATAATGTGAGACAATGAAGATTCTCAGAGAACAAGACATTGGTGTGGTCCAGGTCGATGTGAGGCAGGAAGAAAGTTTGAACGAGAGGCTGAAGGTTTTGGAGGCATGTCTCGTTGGTAGGTTGGTGGGCTCCAAGTTGGAGAGGGAGACGGTTGAAGCCTGGGCGAAGCTTGAATGGGGCAAGTAAAGAGTTGTGGGTGTTAGAAATTTGGATGGGGGCTTGCTTCTGTTTATGTTCCAGAATAGAGATGTTGTGGCTTGGGATTTGGAGTCAGAGAAGAAGACAAGGGAATGTGGCCTAAGGTTAGGTTGGTGGTTTCCAGTGGCAGGGGCAATTCTTAATGGAAGGAGAAAAAGAGAAGTGTGGATTGGAGTGCTGGGAATTCCCCTTCATGCTTGGGGACCATTGACCTTCAAAAATATTGGAGACAGGTGGGGAAAGTTCTTGAGCTTCAATGATAGAAACAGGACTTGGGAAAAGATGGATTTTGTGAGAATTCTTGTGGAAGTGGAAGACTTTGCTGTGGAGTTACATTTTGTAGTGGAAACTTACAATCTGTAATTATTTTTGGAAGGAGAAAACCAAATGTTCTGGAGGGCGGTGAGGAGTTATGTCATTCTTGTGTGCAGTTTGGAGATTAGGAAGGAGGAAGAGGTTCTTCCTGTTAGTGCAATTTCAGTCCAGAAGATGAAGGGCCGTACAGAGGTTGAAGATGATGGGCAGGAAAGATTGGG